TTTCATTAGCTTAAAACCTTATGTAGAAGCAAGACAAAGAAATAGGAAAAGAACTCTAATACTACAACAATCATCAAGATAAATCAAAGAATAGTTGTAGACACTTGAGAAGTCAGTAATAAAAATTTTTTGAGGATTGCCCATTTATTTAGAAATATATATATTTATTTTATTAACTATGATACTTAGAATTAACATTAGAATAATATGAACTTTAGTTTTCTGGCTGGTAGTGAGAAAAAATCTTTTATAGACATGTCTATTACACAAAATGGATGTTCATTAAATGAATGCTAGCTTTAAATGAACAAGTCTACAAAGAGACATTCAGTCACAAAATCAAATATAAGACTATCTGCACATATACTCTTCTTTTTTTTTTAAGATTTATTTGTTTATTTGAAAGGCAGAATTACAGAGACAGAGAGAGGGAGAGGGAAAGAAAGACACACAGGCACACACACACACACACACACACAGATCTTCCGCCTGCTGATTCATTCTTCACATGGCCGCATTGATCAGAACTAGGCAAAGATTAAGACATGAGACTGGAATTCCATCCAAGTCTCCTATATGGGTAGCAGAGAGCCAAGAACCTTAGCCATCTTCTGCTGCTCTCCCAGGCACCTTAGCGGGGAGCTGGATGGGTAGTGGAGCAGTCTGGACTCGAACCAGTGCTCTTATGGGATGCTGGCATCAGTGGTGGAGGCTTAACTGCTGCACTGGCCCCAACCCATGGTTTTCTACTAGTGAAAGATAAGGAGAGAACTGTGGAAACAATGAGGGACAGGTATCCTTTGTATTAGGATGTATCGAACTCACTTGGATGCTAAACAAAATAGAAACTAAGAGAGAAGCACTCAAGAGAGAGGAGCATATCATTGAAGATCTATTCCTGAGGCAATAGAGAAAGGCAGACCTAGAGGAAATATCTGGGCCTCTCTCTGGCTATGAGGGGCTGATTCTCACGAGGCAAAGTGCTTGATATTATATTTATTATAATGTAAACATTATGCTAATTTCTAATTTCAAGTCAGGCTTGAGTGAGTTTGGATTTCTGGAGCTCGTCCTTGGGCCTAAATGCTGTTGGTCAGGTAATGTATCGTGAACCAAGTGGAGCACATGCCAGGAGCAGATGTTAGCTGATATTGTTTTCTCTTTTAAGCATATCAAGTCCTATGTTTGTGTCAAACAAAAAAAGTATTTACAGAAAGATTGGCATGGGGACCTTATGTTTGTCCCCTTCAGTTTACATAATCAAAAAGCCAAGACAAACAAACTCAATCTTTCTCACACTGTTCTTATCTGTGTGCAATGATGTAGCATGATAATGCCCTTTTCACCTATGGGAGTTAAGTTTCTGCCCTCCCCTCCTCTTCTCTTCCCTACATATCCCCTCTCCTTCCATTTGTTTTCTTTTCTTTGTCTTTCATGTATTTATGTGACTGTCATGGGGCTCTGCCAAAGATGCCCACTGATACACAAACACACACACACACAACTCAAAAAAGCTCATGGAAAAACATAATTAAACTGAAAAGTGATCCCTGTTAAATATGAGTGGGAATAAGAGAGGGAGGAGATGTACAGTTCAGCACATGCTCACTCAACTTACTCCTAATGGTAGAGCTAGAAACGTGCCAGGGGATTCCAATTCAATCCCTTCAAGGTGGCATGTACCAATGCCATCTCACTAGTCAAAATGATCAGTTTCAGTTCATAATTAATCATAATGATAGGATTAAGTGTCAAAGGGATCACATAAGCAAGACTAGTGTCTACTAATAATAACCAATAGAATTAAAAATGAGAGAACAATCCAACATGGGAAGCAGGATACACAGCAGACTCATAGAATGGCAGATGTCCTAAACAGCACTCTGGCCTCAGAATCAGTACTTAAGGCATTTGGATCTGGCTAAAAAGCCCATGAGAGTTTCACAGCCATGGAAAGCCAAGACACTCTGGCAAAAAAAAACACAAAAAACAAAACAAAACAAAAAAACACAACAACAAACCTAAATAAAAAATCTCTGTGAGTGAGATCCCAGAGGAAAGAACAGGCCATCAAAGAAGGAGGTACCTTTCTCTGAAGGGAGGAGAGAACTTCCAGTTTGACTATGACCTTGTCTAAATGAGGTCAGAGTTGGTGAACTCAAGAGGCTTCCATAGCCTTGGCAGCTCATAACAAGAGCCTAGGGTGATTACTGACGTCTAAATAAGAGTGTCAATTGTTAAATCAACGACAGGAGTCACTGTACACTTACTCCCCATGTAGGATCTCTGTCCTTAATGTGTTGTATTACGAACGGTATTACTACTCAAACAGTACTCTATACTTTGTGTGTCTGGGTGGGTACAGTCTGTTGAAATCTTTACTTAGTATACACTAAGTTGATCTTCTGTATATAAAGATAATTGAAAATGAATCTTGATGAAGAGTGGGATGGGAGAGGGAGTTGGAGATGGGATGGTTGCGGGTGGGAGGGAGGTTATGGGGGAAAAGCTGCTATAATCCAAAAGTTGTAATTTGGAAATTTATATTTATTAAATAAAAGTTGAAAAAATGAAAAGAAAAACATAATTAAAAGATGTTTGTTTATTTTGGTGCGAATTTTTGGAAATGTATGCATTTTCCATAAACTTTTTGATGATTTCTCTATGTATGGTGTATCTATAGCTATCAATAATAAAGCCTTTGACAAGTCAATGCTTCTTTACCTTTTTGAGTGGTGAACTCCAGTTGAATCTGCTAGCTAAAAAGAGCAGGCAAGGTACATACTTCCCAGGTTATGCTTACATAAGGGTCCTCTGCCAAAGATACAATTTTGTAATTTCTGATTAGAATGGATGATCATATGTCAGATGAGCCAATAAGACTAGGGGCAGTCCCTTAGAGCATGAAGTCACTCATTTAGATTCATTATACTGTGTGTCTTCTTTATAGAGCAGAAAGCTTGGAAAGCAATGGTAGAAATCTTCAAATATTGCCCTGCTATGTCTCAAATGGGACAAAACTACTTTGAGTCATTCCAGAGAAAGATTAAGGAACACTGGATGGAACATTCAGAGAGGAAGATTGGACTCCAAATGAGAAATAGGTTTCTAAAAGTTAATAACTTTTAAGAAAATGGGAACATGCTAAAATTGACATTTTCACTTGGAAGCCTGGCTCTGGCTGTATTCAATGGCCACTCTCCCCGACCCTCCAAGAAGATAGTTGAATATGTATTTCCTGTGATTGCTGGTTCAACCCAGAGATAGAATTCGATGTAGAGTGATCAATACATCCTCTAACTCAAAAACTCTGGCTGACTGATAGGTGTCTCCTGATTTTTCTGATACTAGTAGATGGCCATATATATTAACATATGTTCTAATGAAGGCATGAAAGAACTTGCAAAACAATTTCCAGAATTTTGTTATCCCTTTCTTCCGTCCTTCTCCTACCAGTCTATACTGCCATCTCTACAAGTTAAAACCAATGCAATTCTTGCCTTGGAGAAAAAGGAAAACTGTGGCATCTGACAAAAAAGGAAGCCAGCATCCCCCTTAGATGCCCAACAGGTACAGACCTGTTGAGTTTGTTGGTGTTAACACTGGCAACTGTATTACTGAGCCATTGCAATATCTCAAGTTACTTATAATGGTGTGTATTAAAATGCAGTAGATCAATCATTTCATTTGTTGTCTAAAACCAATATTCTTACACATAGGATATTCCAATAGCCAAAAGGTATGATACTGTTTTTGTTTTATAAACACTTAATCATGTCATATATTATTTAAATTATAGATTTTGTTCATCAGTATCTAACTATTATGAAGAAAAAGATGATAGTTTTAACACAAGTAGATAGGTTTCAGTTGCTTCTGGGTAGAACGTTGGTCATGTTTATTGTATATTTGCTTTTGAAAGTTTGGCTTTAGGAAATTAATGTTGGCTCAATATCTTTCAATCCCTATATACTCAGTGTTTGAGACACGACATTACTAGTATGCTTTGCAACTCTTCCCCTGGAGATAACTCAGGCTGTTGCACATAGACAGGTGGGGCAGACCATAGCTGTAACCATGACTATTAGTTACATGCCAATCTCATAGCCTTGTCAGTTCTCTTAATGTGGTGGTGATGAAATATTTAAAACCCCAGTGATATTCAAGCATAGCAGGGAAAATATGACAAATAAATTAGTTTGGTTGATGCACATCAGCAATACAAAAATGAATTGTCATTATTTCTTAAACATATTCCTTAAAACAGAAACTAAAGTGTGAAGTGAGTCAGGCCTCATAAGAGCTTATAGCTTTTGCTCAAAAGCTTAAAAAAGAAAATATAATATTGAGAGTAAGTGACAGGATTAAATGAAGTTCTGATCATGACAATATGGTACTTTCCAGATATGTTCACATTTTTGACATTATCAAATGACTATAAATAATGCAAATGTTATTATGGTCAAAAGACATGGTAAAAGGTACAGAATTTAAACAGTGATTCAGGCACAGTCAAAAGAGTGCTTTGCTTTACCAACCAGTGAAAAGATTTCTTAAGTGGAAGGTATTAAAGCTCATAAGACTCTGCAACTACTTTTGCTTTCTTCAATAATAAAGACAAATGCCTAGTGATGCTATTATGGTTTGGAGACATCTAATAAATAGCAATGCTGTGTTTTGAGACAAGATCTACACGGCTCCAGGGTATACTAAGCTGCAGCTCAAAATAGAACAAAACAGATTAAGGATCATTTTAAGTCAATTTGGTCACAGAGCTCAACATGTGATCAGAAAAGACACAATATGGAGCACCATATTGCAGTGATACAGTTTTGCTTACAAGTAAGCAAGGCTTACTGTCTATGCCTTTAGCAAATGTTTTCTAAATCCTTACCACGTGGCAAGGTTGGTATGTTTTAGTTTCTTGGTATGGAATGTAGCCAACATAAAGTAAGATGGCATTACAACAGTTTTGAAGGCTTGGGCGTATTCTTCTACAGATGCAACCTGCTTTGAAAATTCCTTTGGGTCACTTGGAAACCACTTTCTGTACCCATTCAAACTTGTAGAAATTGTACTTTCATGAACCAAAGAAAATACCTACTTTATGTTCCTACCCTTATCAACTCCACCAACAACCCCAAAGGAGAAACCAGCATTACAATATGGAATAATGACATCTGCAGTTCCTGAATGAAGTTAATGGTGATAGTTTGTAAAGCACCCACCAATTATTGAGAGCTGACGCTATGCCAAGCCCTGTGTTAATGGTATGTACATTATCTTATTCATTTTTAAAACAGCCATGTAAAGCAGTATTAGCTCGACTTTGCTGATTATGGCACAGGTTCAGAGTGCTAAAATAATGAGCCCAAACTACCCAGAAAGCAAAGATAGTATTCAAGCACATATTGTGAGCAACTTTATTACTTATAAAGTACACTAGAAATACAGTAAATGTTCAGAGGCTTTAGAAGAAGTATAGGATTTATTGTATCTTAGTGGGAGATTGAAGCAGGGTATAGTGTATATTAAGGAAATCCTATCTAATCACTCATCATTAAAAATGGTTTGTGGACAAATTATCTCCCAATTAAAGCAACTACATCTGACTTGATCTGATAACCCTTTATAAAAATTAAATTTAATAATTCTACAATTTTATGGAGGTGTATTTTGTATACAAAAACTGCACATGATATATATATATGTATATATATATATGATTTGGTGAGTTTGGACATATTTATAAATTTGTGTTTTCCTAACCATAATCACTGTAAAAATATATTCATCATTTCCAAGTTTCTTTGTGTTCTCTTGATTTTGTTTCTTTTTCTTTAAAGATTTATTTATGTATTTTAAAGGCAGAGTTATAGAGACAGCAGGAGAGACACAGAGAGACAGAGAGACAAAATGAGATCTGTCTGGTGGTTCACTCCCCAGTTGGCCACAACAGCCAGGATTGGGCCAGGCCAAAGCCAGTAGCTAAAAGCTTCTTCCAAGCCACCCTCATGGGTGGCAGGGGCCCATGCACATGGGCCATCTTCTGCTGCTTTTTCCAGGTCATTAACAGCGAGCTGGATCAGAAGTGGAGCAGCTAGGACCTGAACCAGCATATAGGATGCTGACACCACAGGCAGCAACTTTCCTCACTATGCCACAGTGTTGGCTCTGATTTTGTTACTTTTCTGTTTGTAACAAGAATAGTTAACAGGAAGTCTACCCTCAATAAATTTTACAATGTATGATACCTTATTGATCATAGGTACTGTGTTGAACAGTACATACACCTCTGGAATTTATTCATCTTATATAATTACAACTTTGTACCCATTGAAGAACTCCTGGTGACAGCCTTCCACAAGCCCTAGTGACTACCATTCTCTTGTGTACTTCCACATGTCTATATTTAGATGCTAGATGCCTCATAAAAGAGGAATCATGTCGCATCTATTTTGTTACTGATTTAGCAAAATGTCTTCTAGGTCCACTCATTTTATCCTGAGTGGTAGAATGCCCCTTTGTTTCTTTTAAAGACTGAACTATATTCCAGTGTATGTCTATACTAATATTTCCTTATTTATTCATGTGTTTATGGAAACTGAGAGGTTTTCATATCTTGGCTATTGTGAATAATGTTTCAGGAAAAATGAGACGTCAGACATCATTCCAAGATCATGATTTCACACCAGAATTAAACTACACTATAGATCAAATGGACCTAATAGATATTTATAGAACCTTCCATTCGACAGCTGCAGAGTATAGATTCTTACCATCAGCCCTTGGAAATTCATCAGGATAAGGCCATATGTTAGACCACAAAAAAATCTAAACAAATTAAAAAAATTATAGGTATCTCTTCTGATCATAATGAAATAAAATTAGAAATTAACAATAAAAAACTCTATATGTATACAAATACATGGAGATGGAACAGTATGTTCATCAATGAACACTGGGTCAATGAAGAAATCAAAAGGAAAACTTAAAAATTCCTCAGAACTCATGAAAATAGAAACAACATTCCAAAATTTATGAAATACAGTAGGAACAGTACTAAGATGGAAGTTTCTAGCAATTCACGCCTACACTAATTATGTGTGTATATACACTAAATATATATATATATACTAACTGTACATTTATATATGTACTGAATATGTTTCTCTGGAGAACTCTGACAAATATGAAATCATAGGAATTGGTAAGGTGGGCATTTTAAACCTCATGCCACGCACTTATTTTTTAACACTTAGCATCTGAGGCTAAGAATTTGGAGAGTGAAGGTTTAGAGATAACAGTTCTTCTCTCTTCAAACTGTTTTACCTGTAATGAAAGGGTTAAGTGATGAGTCATCTGGGGTCCATGGGCACATGTTCCAGAGGAGCACATCACCTGCTCCTCTTGGCCTTTGAGAAGTAGCCACAGTAAACAGTACCTGAGTTTCAGTGGCCCAAAGACTGCCCTGGACACTTACAAAGTAGGCAGCAAGTACTGAATTAATTAAGTATCTTAGGCAAGACTCCTCCACAGTTTCTGTCAATTTGCTTATAGGAGCATGCATGCATGCCATTCTTTTCACAAGCACGTGTGAACGCACATACCTCCCTACTCCGGAATATTCGGTAGTCACTGGATCACACGGCATGAAGCATCCAATGATAATTACAGGACAGTCTGTTGCTCTGTTTATTCAGGAAGCAATGGTTACACAGTAGTCCCTCCACTTCTACCACCACTGTGGTTTAGGTATAGCTTGACCCCTCGTCCCCAAGGGGTCATGTGCTGGTGAGCTTTGTCTCCAGGGTGGTGGTGTTAAGGTGGTGAGACTGTTAAGAAGCGGGGTCTAATGGAAGATAATTAGGTCATGGGAGCTTCAACTTCATGAGCATTCAGGAGGCATTTGCCAGGATCCAGCCACCAGAATCATGAGCCAAATTAACCCTCCATTTTATAAGTTAACTAGCCTCAGGTGTGTTTTTTATAGAAACACAAAACAGACTAAGACACTCTCTATTCATTGTTGTGCTTTCCATAGTTTCACCTCCCCCTGGTCAACTACTGTCCAAAAATATTACATAGAAAATTCCAGAAATAAGCAATCCATAAGTTTTAAATTGTGTGCTATTCTAGTAGGGTGATGGAATCTCACACATCACCAAGAACCATTTTGCTCTGCGTATGAGTCATCCTTTTGTCCAGCATGTCTGTGCTGTGTACCTTACTCTCCTGTTAGCCGCTGAGTGGTCTTCCTGGCTATCAGGCCCGCTGTCATAGTATTGCTCTGCATCTGCTCGAGGAACCCTTGTGTACTTAGACATGTCTCCAAATAACAAGAGCAGGAATGCTGATAATTCAGATGCGCCAATAAGAGAATGTAAAATGTTTTCTTTAAGTGAAAACCTGAAACTTTGTCAGAGGTATGAAGCTGTAGGAAAAACACAGTGTATACAGGGTTCCGTGCTCTCCACAGTCTTAGGCATCCATTGTCCTCCTGTGGGTAAGGCAGGGCTCCTGTGCAGTCTTAGTGTAATGATTTTCTCTGAGTGAAAACTCTCCTCCTTGGCTGACGCCGTGGCTCACTTGGCTAATCCTCCACCTACAGTGCCAGTACCCCGGGTTCTAGTCCCGGTTGGGGCGCTGGATTCTGTCCCAGTTGCTCCTCGTCCAGTCCAGTTCTCTGCTGTGGCTGGGAACGCAATGGAGGATGGCCCAGGTCCTTGGGCTCTGCACCACATGGGAGACCAGGAGGAAGCACCTGGCTCCTGGCTTCGGATCGGCTCAGTGCGCCAGCTGTGGCAGCCATTGGGGGGGGTGAACCAATGGAAAAGGAAGACCTTTCTCTCTGTCTCTCTCTCACTCACTAACTATGCCTGTCAAAACAAACAAACAAACAAACAAAAAACTCCTCCAGAATATGTCCAGCCATAACCATAAGTACTCATATCTCCCTTGATGTGATTAATTACTCTTGGTATATGACTGTATTTATAGTTTTACTTTTATTATCAATTTAAAATTCTCCTTCCAGTCAAATGTAAGTGACTCTTGTGCCCTCCCCTCTCCAGGAAGAGAGGAGGGGAATGTTTTACACCAGGATGGAGTCCAAATGGGCTCCCCATATGTGGAGCTCTACCATGAGGAAAGAGGAAGGCTTTTTGCACCCTCTGCACTGTACTGACTTAGAAGGCCCATCAATATTCCCGGTTATTTCAGGGGAAAGGCCATCTGCAGGGCAGAGTCACTCCCTGGATATTCTTAGAACACTTTGACATTTGGTGCTCTCCCTCTAGTGGAGCCTGTGGTCTATTTTCTTTTGTGGTGGAGAAGAGGCTCTCTGGGTACTGCAGAAGCTTCTGAAAATAATGTCAAGAAAAGAGAAGGACAGAAGGCACTGGGAAGTCTTTGCAGAACATCCAAGTGCTGAGGACCCCGAGAAACAGCAGACACTGCTGATGTGATGTCCCTGTACAGAAGGAGAAGTGACAGGTGTATGTACTCCTGAATGTGATCAGACTCGTCTCCAGTGCCAAGCTGGTAAGCTGCCCTGGAGGGTCCTTTTCACTTGATAGCTGTGATGCATTTCCTCCTGAGAAGCCTGTCCTGCTCTCTGGGCTGGGCAGCTGCTCTGACCTCCTTAGCCTGCAGAATTCTCATTGTTAGGAATGATTGTGTCACTGTGGCTCCCAGAGAGATGCCCTGAGGCCCCTCCATCCTGGCACTTTAGAGAGCTCAGGTCTAACAACTTTGCACCCATTATGGAGGCCCTGGAGGCACCTGTGCTCTTCATTTTTCTTTTGGAAAGCTGACCAGTGAGGCAAGGCTAGAACAGCTACAGAACAAAGAAAATCCTGTTGAGAATTAAAGCCATGACCTCATTCCCATTAGCACTAATTCAGTGCTGTCCACAAGCAACACAGTGTTCCCAAACACAGCTAACTTATTGTTATGTAGCAGATTCTCTCTTTTTTTTGTTGGAATTGTAGCTGGTGCAAGTAATGCAGGTACAGATGGTCTGTTGATTGTTGTGGAAGTATGGCTTCTTTTACTACACTGCTCTAGAAAGAAATGTTATGGAAGGAAATGTTGTGGAGGTATTAATTTTTATCCTGAGCTCTTGTTATGCACAAAGACAGGAATTCTTAGTGCTGACACATGTAAGATAAATTTTATTCAGGAGGCGAAAAAGTGAACAACACACACACACACACACACATACACACGAGCATAGGTTGTCCCACATGGCAAAACGCCCATCATGAGTCGGCTCAGAGGAAGAAGGAAGTTGGGGGAGGGGGAAAAAGAGAGAGCATCCCAGCACCTTCTCCTGTCCTGGTCTCTGTCATGAGAGCACCTTCAGAAACTTCTTTTTGTGAGCTGGGAGGGATGGTTGCGTCTACAGACAGGAAGTAATCTGGGAGTTTTTTGATACCTCCATAAAATTCTGTGAGGATCTTCATATACATATTTCTATAGTGCCTCCTCTCAGGTCCCGGGTGAAACAGATGTAAAGGGGGCATTTTTATTGACAAATGAGATAGAATTACACATGAGGCAGGAGCTTGTGACTTGCAGGCACCTCTTGCTCCACAGATCTACCTAGTTGTCTGCCTTCACACATCAGAAGCAACCGTGATGATGTCACCATATGAGGACTGGATCATCAGATGATAGACAAATGCCTAGGAAGTGAGGTAAGGAGGTTGTGAAACTTTTCATTAGCTATCCTAAAAATGAATCAATTTTGTTTCTCCTTTAGAAGAGAAGATAACAATCCTATTTCTTGGAACTAGCAGAGGAATACCTTGGATAAGACAGCCTGGGCTATGATGGCAAAAGGAAATATTTATAATTGCTAATTGCTTTATGGCTGGTCTTATTTTCTTCCTTTCAATATTTTTTCTCCCTTGTCTGTCTGTTAAACAGTGTGAATGTGAGGTCTGAGTGTTCTCATCACTCGTAGAGGAAAGGTTGGATAATCTCTAAGGTGTTAGAGACTGAATATATTCAGTTCTCTCTTCTCATGAATAGCTCATCAGAAAATGAAGAAAATAACTGGAAAAATCCATGCTTTACACAGGGTCAGAAGACAGGATTCCTGTATTTGCTGAATTATATCATAAGAAAATTTGATACTTTGAGAATGAAGGGTTGGTGGGTGTTTGGTGTAGCAGGTTAAGCCACCAGGTGGGATGCCCTTATTCCATATCTGAATGCCAGTTGGATATTTTGGTTCCTTTGTTTTTGATCCAGCTTTCTTCTTATGGATCCTGGGAGGCAGCAGATAATGGCTTAAGAGGCCATCCACATGGCAACCCAGATGGAGTTCTGGGTTCCTGGCTCCAGTCTGGCTGTTGCAGGCAAATGGGGGAGTGAATCAATGGGGGAAATTTTTTTTCTCTATATGTCTGTCTGTCTGTCTGTCTCTGTTGCTCTGGCATTTGAGCAAATGAAAATGAATAAGCATTTGAAAAAGAATAGGGGCCAGCACTGTGGTGTAGCAAGTTAAGCCACTGCCTGGGATGCTTCATCGCATAGGAACAGCAGTTTGAGTCCAGGCTGCTCTGCTTCCAACTCAGTTCCTTTCTTATTCACCTGGGAAAGCAGCAAAAGGTGGCCCAAGTATTTGGGGCACTGCTACTCTCATGGGAGACCCAGATGGAATTTCTGGCTTCTCAGTCCCTGCCTTTGTGCCCATCTGGGGAGTGAACTAGTGAATGTAAGGTCTCTTTCTCTGGGTGTCTCCCACTCTCTCTCCATTACTTTTAATAAAATAAATATCAAAAAATAAAAAAGATACAAAGCTGCATATACTTTTTATTTTTCACACTACTTCTGTAACAGAATATGCCTAAGCAAACAGGTAAACCAAAAGTACAAAATGTTCTATGTAGTGGGGTGATTTTTTTTTTCAATTTTAAACTTACCTTTAAAATATTCACATAATTATTTGCTCTTTGTACACACGTGCATCCATAGATACAAACGAAACTGGATAAACAAAATAAAAATGAAAGTAGTTTGGCAGAAAAAGGTAGGAGCAGGATGAAAACCAGACTTTTCAGGGATGCTGTTTTCCTTTTCTTATTCTCGTTCTAGTCTGTATTCCATCAGCTCCCTGCTGCACTTGGGGCCCAGAGCACAGTAACCTTTGTTGTGTGGATTTGTTAACCTTGATGCTGGATGCATGGCGTCCAGCAGAACTATTGCTTGCACAGTAAAAATGTCCACATCTGACTCTTCGGTAATTTAATGATTAACTTCTGCTTGCAAACTCACACTTCTCGGGAGAACTTGGTGGGAGTCAAGTGGTGGAGGGCGTGGAGTGTTATTCAACGAATCCAATGCAATCTCGGAAAAGCCAAAACTGTAATTCAGTAGTACACTGTGAAAAAGATGTGTGTCATTTATAGGTCTTCTCATTTCATTCCATTTCCTGTCTGAGAGATTAATAGTATTGGGTACAATAAGAAGATAAAATGCTTTGATTGAAGGGATAATGAAAATGACTGACAAAAATTTTTTTTGCATTGAAATAAGTCTATGGATTTGGATATTTCTGACCACATATTTTTCTATACAGAAGATTCAGAATAATAAGAAAATTTACAGTATATGCTGTGTGCAGGCCAAGTACTGTCCTTTGAACTCTATACATAGTGACTTACTTAAAGCTTATAATATGCCATGAGGTAGTGAGCACTATAATTTTCATATAAAGAAACAGACACAGGTAAGTTAACTTACTTGGCCCAGGTCACAGACCTGGGCAGTGGCTGAAACTCAGATCCAGGATGTGCTTACAAGGACTGTGTCAGACTGCCAATTGCTTCATGTCTATGAAAAAAAATCAATGAATTAATTAGAATAGCTAACATTATTCTGCACTCCCTCTATGTCAGCCATTGTCTTAAGTATTTTACCTGCAATATCTCAATTTGTCCTTGCAATAATCTTCCGTGGTATCATTAATTCCATCAAGAAGATAAAGAAATGAGGGCTCAAAGAATGAGTAACTTGTCCAAGTTATGAACTTAGTAAAAGGGAGACAGGATTCAATAATTAGATTCGAGTCTTCCTGTTCAATGGCTTGGATTGTCATCAACATTTATTGAACACTCATCGGATTCAGAGTTAGACTAATGGGCATCTGTCCCTTGAGATATGCCATTACCTAAAAGCTGTAATTTGTCTGATGGCTTGAAGAATGGAGCCTAAGCAGCAGCATGATGTTGACTCATTTAAAGTCCAAGAATTAGAGTATTAGATGATTGCTTCATTGTCCTGCAATCTGAATGGTTGCATACCAAATATCCTTAAACTTATTAATAATGTTTGAGTGATTTTTCAAGACATGCCGAGCTTATTTGAATAAGTATTCTTGTCTTTGTGGGTTAACAGAGCTGAGATTTTGCTCAGCGATTGTAGCTTAGGGCAAGATGACATCAGACAAACTAGATACAGTGTAATTATTTGTGAATCCTGTTCAACATTGCTATTCTCTTTTTTTGAAAAGCAATTAATTAAATTTATTTGAAGGTGCGTGTGAGAGAGAGAGAGAGAAAAAGAGGGAGAGAGAGAGAGAGAGAGGTCTCCCATTTACTGATTCGTTCCCCAAATATCCACAAAAGCTAAGGCTGTTTTAGGCTGAAGCTAGGACCCAGGAACCCAATTTAAGTCTCCCACATGTGTGGCAGGGGCCCAAGTACTTGGGTCACCACCTACTGTCTCCCAGGGTGTGCATTAGAAGGAAGTTGGAGTTGGGAGCAGAGCTGGCAGTCAAACCAAGGCACATTTGTTATCAGATGCAGGTATCCCAAGTAGTATCCTACCTATAGAGTCAAGTGTCCATCCCAACATTGGTATTCTTGATGTATTCTTCATAGAAAGGGAAGAAACTAACAACAGGAATGGACAAATTAAAAATTGGCTTTTATATGCATTTAATGAGTGCATTTATAATGTATATAATGTGTGCAGTTTTGCAATGTATATAGTTATGTGATTTTGTCATGTTTGTAATATAAGTAATGCATGTGTACGAACATTATGAAAAAATTAGAGTACAAAGTTTAACTGAGAGCTAGTTGTCAGGGACTTTGGCTCCAACCCAGCCAGGTGAGCTGATGTCCCCTGGGACCCAGAATGTGTAAAATGGTGGGACTGATGGTCTCAAGAGGATCTTTATTCCATTTATAAGGTAAATACCTCTTATGAGACGTGTCCTAATGCATGATTTTCCTAACAGATAAAAGCTGTCAGTGATGGTGAAGCAGTGGAATACTGAGAAGGGTGGTGGTAGATTTTGATATAAACACATAATGAGAAAGTGACTTATAAAGTAGACAAGGTCATTAGGATGTATTACAGTTCAGGAATGCCAGTATGTATACTATATTCTATAAATGCCAGCATATTACCTATTGCAGAAGTTATACAAATTTCAAGGAATTAAAGTAATGGTAATTATATATATCTATGAAATATATGAAATCTGTTCTCTTTATATTAATAAAAATGTTTAAAAATAAGAAAACACCAGCATATAAATAGTAGTTTTGAGTGGTGACCAGTTCACTGTTGTTTTAAGTATAAAACAGAATAAATGATTCTTATTTTACACAGGAATGAATATATATCAATCTATTTTCTGCCCATCTCTCTTGATCTACCTTGTAGTCCAATTTTTAGACACTGAAACTAATAATGTAGGACTAATAACCTAGAAATCTTGTCTTACTTCCTATCTGAAGATTGTACAGTGGAGGAGAGGCCTCTTGAAGTCTGACTGTAGCAGCACTGATATTAAGAGATGGAGAATGTCTTCAGAGGTTCTTCTCTGCTATTTAACTTCCATCTGAAACTTTATTAGAATTTAAACTTTGATGATCCAGTAATGTTGATGTATCTAGTTTAATTTTAGTTCAATTTACCTACAGAATAAAAAATTCAAATAATTTCTTTCAATTGCTAATTAAAATATGTGTCAGTAATTGTTTTGCAAAGCCATATTACTGCCAAAAGCTTTATTGCTTTTCAAATGTTCTGCCAAAATCGAAACTGTTGCTGCTCAAAGAGATTCCCTTGTAAATTTTCTGCAAGGGATGAGTCAATCAATAGAGCAGCTGGGGGCTGGAGTCGTGGCCTAGCAGATTAAGTCACCTCTTGGGATGCCCACATCTCATACTATAGCACCAGTTTGAGTTCTGACTGCTCCACTGCTGATCCAGCCTCTGCTAATCACCTGGGAAGGCAGCAGATGACAGCTGAAGTACTTGTTTCCCTGTCATCCCCTAGGAGACCAGGAATGAGCTCCTGGCTTCTGGCTTCAGCCTGCCCCAGCCCTGGCTCTTGTAGCCATCTGGGGAGTGAACCAGCAGATGGAAGATCTCTCACTTTCTGTCTCTTTTGCCCTTAGTCACTCTGCCTTTCAAATTCATAAAATAAATAAATCTTTTTAATAGAGCATTTTATTTGTATTGCATCTTAAATGAGTTCTTTCTCCTGTATCAGCAACTCCAGCTCTCATTTTTGTTCCTCTTCTTGTCACCAGACAAGTGAAACCAACTCCAAATGGGCAAGGACAAGAGGTGAAATGTAGCTGCACAACAATCAGCTGAAACTACATGTAATTCACTGCAGTTCTGCTTCTCAATAAGGAAAGCTACTTTTAGTTGTCTATTGTACATTGTTTTATGCAGAGGATGTTTTTTTTGTATTCACTTAAAATCTAGAACACTATTTACTAAGTGCTAGGTGCTGTGTGAGGTAATAAGTAGTGAACAACCAACACACTTACTATTCTGGGGTTACCATTTTAAAGGAAGGAAAAAAGTGAAAAGTGGAACTGATGGTATGGCTCCTTGGGTTAAGCCTCCACATGGGTAGCTCACATCCCATGATGCAGTGCTGCTCCACTGCTGATCTAGTTTCCTGCTCCCTTCTGCCCACATGAGAAACCAAGATGGAGTTTTGGGGTCCTGATTTCATCCTGGCCAAGCCCTAGCTGTTGCAGCTGTTTGGGGAGTGAATCAGAAGATGGAAGGTCAATCTCTCTCTCTCTCCCTCTCTCTCTCTCTCTAGCTTTGCCTTTCAGATAAATAAATAATTCTTTTAAAAAATTACAGGTAAACAAGCAGTTGTCTTTTAAATAATACATATGCATGTGTAAATCAACTGGTTACCCCATTTAACTCTACATTTTTGATTAAACTTCTCCTCCCAATCTTTCCCCAGGCTCCTTCCTAGTCAGGAGGGCTTGCTCTTATTCTTGGTGATCCAAATAGGCTTCTGAAATTACCCTATTGTTTAATCATCTTTAGGTACAGAATCTTATGGCAAAAGACCTACTGAGTGCCTCTCCCTCAGGAAACTCAGTGGCTGCAGAGAATCTAACAGGCAATCTATGGTTGCCCTGCTATCTCTTTTGAATTTGCTAACTGGGATTAGATTATGTTCGGTCAAGAATAAATTATTGGTGACAGGAAGTTAGTGAATTTATCCACCAGGTCTGGACAGGCTAGGTGAATTTGTCCATGGGGAATGGTACAGTCAAATCAAGATGGCCATGGTCAGTGATCAGTGTTATAGCCAAGAGCTGAGTGACTGAGTTGAACTGAGTAGGAAAGATAGAAGAAAGGAACTAAGGTTAGCAGCTGAAGCCAGAAGAAAGGGGTACAGAAGCCAAGACTGAATTTGGTCTCTGTGTTGAGATGCCTCCATTCCAGTCTACACAAGCACAATCCACTAGATCTGTAAAACTGATCAAAGTCACTTTCTGGTGGTATAGCCATCACTGAGCAATGGTAAAAGCAAAAACAAAACTTGAGTTCAAATCTTCGCTCCAGTATTAACCTCACAAGGAGAATTTTAGTATTTCAGAAAATCTTTTTTCTTATTCCAAAATGGAGATTTATTTGAAAATTAAGTTGTATCTGTACAAAAAAGCACCCCCAGGTTAAAATATACTGTACACATTTAAAATTAGAAAATGATGTGACATCATTTCAATTAAGAGTACTCTGGATAATAACTCTTCCTGGAGACAGATTTTTCTCCCCTGTTTGATTTACATACTGCCTAGACACTTTTAGATGCTTGTAATGTCTATTAGAATTCTAGTTATAACAGAGATCACTCTCAAACACCAGAAAGGCTGAAAGAGCTTAGAGAAACTGTGCGCTCCAGACTCAATGTGGGATTAACAGTAAGTCTCCCACCGTGGCAAAGATAAACTAGAAATTCTGCATGGCCGACTAGAAGTCAGCTCCACCTCTGCTTGCCTGTTTCCTCTGAGGTCTGCAGCAGTCAGAGGAGGTGGTGTGCTGGGCCAGTGGGAGGAGTGCTGGGTCCCAAGCATTTGCAGACTACAGACACAGAGGGGCAAAGGCCCAGGAGATCCATGGCCTGGCCACTTAGCTAATGTGGGCCTGCAGACAAGTTTAGTGCATTGTGACTCACTTGGACAGTGAAGGTCTGAAATCCAGTGACCTTTGACACCTCTTCAGTGTTCCAGGTCTTTGGTTCTATAGATTAACTAAGCTGGGCCTTTGCAGAGATTTTACATTGCAGAGCATGTTGATTCTATCACTCATTGATCCTGTGAGGAGGGACAGTGTATGATTTTATCCTCATCTCGTGGATGAGGAAATAGAGATTTGGAGGTTGTGTCCATTACCAAGTTTCATTACCAAGCCAGAGTCAAGCATCTAGAGTCAAAAACATTTTGTTGATTTTAAAAATTGTATCAGAGTCGGGTGTGTTTCCCTTTAAGAGGTCTTGGCAATTACAAATTATTTTGAACTATCATGTGATGTGGTGGCTGCTATGGAAACTGCATTAATACATGAAACATGCAAAGCTTGTCACCACATCAGATGTTGCTGCCCTTTGGCTATGCTAACTTACTCATCTGTTTTTTTTTTTTTTTAATATTTCTCTTTCTTCTTTATTTTTCTTTCCCAGACACATGCACACTGTACTTATAATCCAAGAAATCTCATTTTGAAGTGACTCATTCTTATGAAATGCATTCAGTGGCTTGGAACAAAAGATTCTGCTGGAAATTCAACCTGGGAAAATAATCTATTTTTAAAAACACTTACCTAGTATTCATTTTGTATTTCTGTGGTTCAAACAAAATGTGAGAAGAAGCTAAGGAAGAAAAACTAAAGTCATGAGCTAAGATCATGCTTGTATTATATTTGCAAAGGAAAATAATGCATGGGTTTAAGTATGAAAATTTTTTCATTATAAATATATATAAAGATAAAATGTCTTGAACTATGTTTTTTAAAACCTTATATGCTGTAGTGAAACATTAGCACTTACAGGTATCAATGAATACTAAAACAATGTCATTCTTTTTAGAAAAAATATACAACTGTATATTACATATGCTAAAATATATGTCATATTTGTAAATGGTTATGGCCCATACTCCAATGCTTGATACTTCAATGCAGATTCTCTCCCTCCCAAGTGGAACTCACTATTATACTTTCTTGTTGTCAACTTATAAGCTATTATGCTATGCTGATATTCTTTTATTTGCATTTCTGACTAATGAGTTAGATTTTTTCCTAAACCTCTGAATTAATTATATAATTTATATAAAATATTTATTCAGAAATTTGACCATTTTGCTGATTTATATTTATTATTTATATATAAAGGGAAATAAACTTTTAATAGTATAGAAAATATTACTGTTTTGATATCATAAAGATTTAAATTTATGGAATTGAAAATTCTATCCTCATGATGCATTACAATAATTTTATGCTTACAAAATTCTCCCTCATGCATGTATTAAATATTCAAATGTATTTTATGCTCTTAGTTGTTACCCTTTAAGCTTTCAATCAAATTTCAATGTATCTTGGATACATTACAAATTGATGAGCAGCCTTTTTATCAAAATAGTTGGTTCTTCCAAACACAACATTAGAAATAATACACCATTTCCCTAAGGACTTATGCTGCTTTAAATTCTGTATTAAGATTGTCATATTTGTTCTAGAATATTTGTTAAGAATTATCTCAATTCTTAAACCAGCACTATACCTAATTTTTATAATTCAAAAATAAATTTTAGTAATCTAATAGCATAGTTCACTCCTTAACATTATTCTCATTTGTTTCATCTTTCTAGATAAACAAAATGAAGTCCTTATTCCCAATCAAAATTCCCAATCCTTTGCCTCTTCTGTTTCATTTAGCTTGATTTATTTATTCTGGCTTATATTTAATGTTTAGTTTAAAAGCGGAGGAAGCCATTATTTTACCAGAATTATAAGGAATGGAGTGCTGGACTCACAGAACATTTTTGTACAGGACTTCTTGGGGAAATAAGAGTTAATCGTAGGCAGGAGTTCAGAAAATACTAAAAAAAAAAAAAATGCTCTTGAACACCTGCAACTTGGAAAATGGGCCTGAAATGCAAGAATATTTTTTTAAAGCAGCAGCAGTGGTGATATCACGGTGGTGATGGTAAAAACTCAACGACTTACACAGAGGGAGCATGAAAGGGTTAAGTGGTCAATTAATTTACAGTAGTCCATCCACTGTAGTGTTCTCACCCTCAATAGCGAGCAATATTTTTACCTTGGGAAATTTGGTTATAATCTGGAGGAGTAATGCAGGAACCCAGAAGAGCCTCTCCCAAACCATGCCAGTCACACTGGCATAACAGAGAAGACTGACATTGGACACAGTTGAAAAACAGACTCATATCTCCAGCAGTCACTGCATAACATGTTCTTATTTAGTGTTATGGGAATTACAAGACTAACAGGATTGTGAAGGGGACTTGACATTTTAAGGACAGATATGCACATGAGACAGCGAAATATTACAGATAAGCTAAGCTTTGAAATTTGGCTCCAGTCTCTATACTGGTAGTTTGATGATGGGCAATTGCATAACTCATCTAATTTTAGAGTTCTCATTCAAAAAATTGATTATGATAATATTTTGTCGAGAATGAAAAAAGGTGAAAGGATTTAATGGAGTGTTATACAAAGTGGGAATGATATGTAATAATAAATGTTCATAAATATTTTGTATTGTATTTACTGCACAAAGTCAAAAGTGTGTCTCATGTTGTGTACAATCTGAAATGACTTATATGCTCCATGGAGTGTAAAAGAAAATGAGAAGTCCCAAAGTGCTAGCTGATTAGATGGTTAGAGGAGACATCTGAAAACACTGAAAAATATTTAGAAAGTGGCTACTCTGATTAAAGACCAAAAACAAAAACAAAACACTGCTGTGACCATTTATCCCTAGTGAGACAGTTAGAAATAGATGAAATAATTTCCAAAGAGATGAATAGCAAAAAGTCCACTCAGAAGTTAGGAACTGTGCTACGGAATTTTCAAATAAGTTATCAACATCCAAAAGAGAAATCTATTACTCGACCAAGAGAGAGAATTATCAGGCCAAGACAACATCCTGAATGAGAGAAGAAGTTGAAAATACCACTGAGTCTGTGTTCCCCAGTTCCAAATCTACTCAAGTAGATAACAATTCCACAGTGGAAATGTATGCACCTGGGGATCTTCATTTTCTATAGAACTGACAGTTCTATTCTGGATGATGAATAGTAAAAAAAAAAAAGCATTTAAAAAATTTGAGGCAATTGTGGGTTGAATCAAGGAAATTATTTGCCTTAAATTTTACCCTGTAAATTTTTGGGTAGGACAACTCATCAAAAGATCTTTCACGAACCTGTCAGTTCCTTTGATGTCTAAGGGAGTGACCAAGTTATGCTTGTGTTATGGCCATTCAAATATATTTTGTAACAGGGTAGTTTGCTGGGAAAGACAGCAGCATAAAGCAAGAACAAGATGCCATAAACAGGAGTGTCAATAGGTAAAGTCAACAACAGGAGTCACTGTGCACTTACTCCTCATGTAGGATCTCGGTCCTTAACGTGCTGTACACTGAGGCTTAATGCTATAATGAGTACTCAAACAGTATATTTCACTTTGTGTTTCTATGGGGGTGCAAACGACTGAAATCTTTACTTAATGTACACTAAACTGATCTTCTG